ATACGTGGTGTGTGGTTGGGATAGGAGGGAGGACGCCAAGAAGAATCCCATTACTCTGTACACTTTCTTGTTTTTACTCCAGCTCAGGCTGGCCTGGGACTTGTTGTGTCCATCTTCAAAAAAAGGGGGGGGGTGTATAGAAAGGAAGACACCCAACATCAGCCTGGACACACACGTACATGTAAATACATGTGCAAATGCTCGAAGGAGGAAGCAGGTGTGGTGGCAAATGCCTGCAGTCCCATCACTTGGGAGGTAGAGGCAGGAGGATCAGGAGTGCTAGGCCAGCCTCAACTATATAACAAATTTGAGGGCAGCCTGGGCCATGTGAGATTGTTCGTTTTAAGGGGAGGTAGCATAGTGGTATACGGTGGCATACATTCCTTTAATCCTGTCACTCAGGTAACAGATGTGGTTAGTTCTCTACATAGAGAGCTCCAGGGTCAGGGCTACATAATGAGCCCCGTCTCAAAACAAAAAAACAGTCATGGGGGCTTAAATCTGTAATCCTAGCACTTGGGAGGCAAAGGCAGGAGGATTGCTGCAAGTTCAAGGCCAGCTTTATCTATATAGCAAGTTTGAAGCCATTTGGGGCTACACATACGACCTCATCTCAGAGGAAAAAAAAAATGATGGAAGCTGGGAACACTGCACCTTGTACCTGGAACTGACAGCCTCGCTCTCCCGTACTCACTCAGCCCTGCCCAACCACAGCTTTGGGTGGATCCTGAGACGGGGTGAGGGCTAATGAGATGCTCGAGCTTACTCCAGACTGTAGCCCTTTCTGCTCTGACATTCCCTCCTGAGAATTTCCTAGCTGCCGTATCAGCTTTGGAAAATTTGCCCTACATATTAACTGTTTTCCTTGTTTGTTTATATTTTGGGGTGTTTTGTTTTGAGGCAGGGTTTCTCTGTGTAGCCCTGGCTGTCCTAGAACTCACATAAACCAGGCTGGCCTTGAACTCCCAGAGATCTGTCTGCTTGTTTCCCAAGTGGTGGAATTAAAGACATGCACCACCACCTGGCTGCTTTTTGTTTTTTAATGGATGCTTGAAGTGGAACCCAACTCCTCATACGGCTGCCGGCTATTCTCCAGCCCAGCCTTATTTTTCAGGAAAGCAGACAGAAGGGCAGGAGGCATGGTTCAGTGGTTAAGAGTGCTTGTTGCTCTTTCAGAGGGACCAAAGTTTTTTTTATTTTTTTCTAGCACATACATGGTTACTCCCAGTCCAGGGTATCTAACACCTTGTCTGGCTCCTCTGAACACTGCACACATGTGGTCCATGTGCATAAATGCAAGTAAAATAACTCATACACATTTAAAAAATAATAAACAGAAAACAAAAAGGATAGGGTACCCTTTGCTGTCCCCTGCTTCTAAGTTTTCCATGTCTGTTACTGTCTCAGAGGTCTGTGTTGTCACCCCTGCTCATCCTTTGACCCTTCTGACCAGGAACAAGATCACCATGATTGCTGAGCCTCTTGAGAAGGGCCTGGCTGAGGACATTGAGAATGAAGTGGTCCAGATCACCTGGAACAGGTTAGACAGGTTCCACCTCCAGGGCTCCCACTTCGGCCTCTTTGCCTGGTCCCTTGATGCCATCCATCCTTCTTTGCTGTTGTCCTGGATATGACGTGGGCAGAGTGGGTTACTGTCTTCCAGAAAGGAAGGATCTATGGCCCTAGGAGCTACTTTGTCCTCTTTCTTCCAGAAAGAAGCTGGGCGAGTTCTTCCAGACAAAGTATGACTGGGATCTTCTGGCTGCCCGTTCCATCTGGGCCTTTGGTCCTGACGCTACAGGACCAAACATCCTAGTGGACGACACATTGCCCTCTGAGGTAGAGCAGACTGACAGGATGGGAGCCCGTGGCAGTGTTTGCCTTGGAGTGAAGCTGCCATGTCCTTCCCTGGTGAAAGAGGGCCTTCTCACAGCCCTGCTTTTCTCTTCCTTCTAACCTGGTGGCCGTTACTAGTGGGCTGCTAAGGAGGCCTCATATTTCTGTGCAGGTAGACAAGGCACTTCTTGGCTCAGTGAAGGACAGCATTGTTCAAGGTTTCCAGTGGGGAACCCGGGAGGGACCTCTCTGTGATGAATGTAAGTCCACCAGCCGCCTCCTCACCCCAGTCCCCAGTACACTTGCACCTAGCCACATAGGGTGATGACATAGGGTTGGGTTTCCCATCTTTGGAACCCAGCAGGAGAAGCAACTTGGGATACACTGGGCTATCCCAAGTCTTGGTCCAGCCTCCTTCCTGCTCCCTTCCTATCTCAGTGCCATCACTTGGTCCAACCCTACATGAAGGCGTCTCTAGACTGGCATTTGCTCTTGATTCCTCAGTAGAGCCTCTCTTTGGTGTGCTGAAGAGAGACAACACGAGGGTTTTCAGGCAGAAGTGGTTTATTGATGCAGACTGGACTACCTAGGGCCAATTCAATTTCTAGAATGACACTTCCTTAGTCTGTGCTGGTTCTGGACACAGACTACATTCTAGAACTTGAATTGGTCCTGGGTAGTCCATTCTGAATCAAATGTTAAGTCCATGTTCAACTGTTTGCTACTGGCCTGTCAGTGTAGCAAGTTACCTTGCTGTCCTGCCATGCCCCTGTGACTAGCCCCAGCTCTCCCATCTCTGTTTCAGTGATTCGAAATGTCAAGTTTAAGATCCTGGATGCAGTGGTTGCCCAGGAACCCCTCCATCGCGGTGGAGGCCAGATCATCCCCACAGCTAGGAGGGTGGTTTACTCTGCCTTCCTCATGGTAAGTGGACCTGTCGGGAACTGTCGGCTTCCCTGGACAGAAGATTAAGTGGAAGACCAGGTAAAACCACAGAAGGACTGAGAAGATCCAGAGACCCTCCCTATGTCCTCACTCAGTCTTCCTCAGGCTGAGTCCTGTCTTGGTCTGTTTGCAGGCCACTCCTCGTCTGATGGAGCCTTACTACTTTGTAGAGGTCCAGGCCCCGGCAGACTGTGTGTCTGCTGTTTACACAGTCCTGGCCAGGCGCAGGTGAGCAGCCTGTTGTTAGGCTTGAGAGCAAGAAACCCCTTGATTGCTGAGGGAGGGGAAGCAAGAGGTGGCCCCAGCCATCGCTTTCCCCACTTTCCACTCCAGAAGCCCACCCAACTTGTTTTCCGCAAGGAGGTAGAGAAGAATCGAGGCAGCCCCTAGCTTTACCACAGGCATACCTGGGATTTCTCCCACCCTGCCCCACCCCAGCTCCTGGGAGAAGTGCCAGAGTGAAGCCACGATGGGGTGGTCTGTAGGGTCCCATCTCTTCAGTGTCCCTGCTCTTGCCTCCTCCTGTGACTGCTGCTAAGAGCCCCAAGCCCATTCCCTCTGCAGAGAATATTCCATTAGGTCTTTCTTTGGTGCTGGACTAGGATACAGAGAAGTGCCACAGACCCATTGCCCTATGCCTTGGGGACTGTGTGCAACTAAGGCCTTGATCTTTGTCTCTCTCTCAGGGGGCACGTGACCCAGGATGCACCCATTCCAGGCTCCCCTCTCTACACCATCAAAGCTTTCATCCCAGCCATCGACTCTTTTGGCTTTGAGACTGATCTCCGCACTCACACCCAAGGCCAGGCCTTTTCCCTGTCCGTCTTCCACCATTGGCAGGTGAGGAAATCTGGCCAGCTTGGCCTCCCGGTTCAGCAGACTGCCCTCCTGGCCAGTTCCCCTTCTGTTCCACAGCCTGAATCTTCTGGGTAGCTACCTCAACTCCCTGGAATCTCTTTGTGCTCCAGATTGTACCTGGTGATCCTCTGGACAAGAGCATTGTCATCCGCCCATTGGAGCCACAGCCAGCTCCTCACCTGGCCCGGGAGTTCATGATCAAAACCCGGCGTAGGAAGGTGTGTGTTCTTTAATCCATTGCCATATCCCTCTGCCCCCGGTCTCCACAGGAGTTGTGTGTGGCCGGTCTTCCTCCTGGAGGGCAGTGTACTGCTGTGTGGTAGATCAGTGTCTACGTTCCTCAGGTCAGCAGAGCAGGGCCCAAGGGGAACAGGAGCTGTAACAGAACCTTAAAGGAACAACTCCTCAGTCTAGACCAGCCTTCCTCCCCCTCAGCCCCATACTATTACCCCTCCTGTGGAGCTCACCCTAGTGTCTGGCTCCGTTCTCCACAGGGCCTGAGTGAAGATGTGAGCATCAGCAAGTTCTTCGATGATCCCATGTTGCTGGAGCTTGCCAAACAGGACGTTGTGCTCAATTATCCCATGTGAGTGCCAGACCGGCAGCTCCTGCTCCCCACAGTGCCTGCAGCCCTGGACTCAAGCTGAGACCTGTGGATCTGGGCCTTCATGCCATGAGCATCTGGGAACTGCTAGAGGTCCTTCTGAATAACCCAGAAACCTCCGCGCCAGTGTCCCAGTGAGGATGGGGCATCCTTCTGTGGCCTCTGGCTCCATTCCCAAGGAACAGAGAGGCGCTTGGGCCCAGGGAAGAAGAACGAGAACAGGATGACAGTGTTTAACCCCAAGGGGCCTGTCTTCAGGATTTACATGGAATTTTATTTCTTACAAGTTCAACCTTAGCCGTGGTTTGTAAATGAACAGAACATTCTGACCTCTGCCTTGGTTGCTGCTTTTGTTCACCCTCACCCCACCCTCTGCCTGTCTAATCTGAGCACTTAGATTCTGGGTACGTGATTTCCCATGAGGTATTTGCCTCTGGTCCCAGCTGCAGCTGCCTTCCTGACTGGGTCCCTAGGGGGCTGGCCATGGTGGAAGGAATGCCTGTGTCTGATTCAGTGTTCCCATGAGTCTTGGCGCCCCTTCCCAGCCCCCACTTTCCCATTCCAGGCTGCTTCTGGCCAGACATGATGTGGGCAGGAGTTGCTGGTCCTCCTTGGAGACTCCTGCACCTTTGAGTCTTTCTCCCTTAGTTGGGGTCAGAGCCCTTCGGTTCCCACCCATTGTACTGCACCCATCCTCCTCCAGCCCCCCCCCCCCCCAGTTCCCTTGCTCCACTCTACTTAGGAGTAAGACTTTTAACTCTCTTCAACATGGCTTTATTGGGCACATACAGAGACAGCTGGGAACTGGGCCGTCCAGCCATGTCAGGAGCCCTACTTCTTAGGAGCCTCTGACGCCCTCTTGACGTAATCTCTGTACATTGTGTACACAGCACCTGCGTGAAAAAGGGAGGAAGGTGCCCTTTGGTGTCTGACCCCTAAATACTTTCCCTCATCCTTCAAGGGGTCCCAGTGGCTCTGCTCTCCCTGCTCATCTTTCTGCCCCAGACATTCAGGCACTCTGGGAGAGCAACTCCTCTGAGTATATAAGCACTGTGATGTCTATTCTGCACAGAGCAGTCTGCTGAGTGGACAGGCCAAAGGTGGTTCTTACGCCTGGGGAAACTGAGGCCCAGTGAAAGGGACTAGCCCACAGTCACAGCTCACAAGTAACTGTTGCTTCTTCCTGTTGTCCCCTTTGGGGAAAATTCATGAAGCAGACTGCCGTCATACTGTCCCGTCACCCAGCAGCAGTCACCAGTGGGGACCCTCTGAAAGGCCTCAGCACAGGGATTCATCAGGGAATTGATGTGGATTCTAGTGTGAGCACCAAGGACTTGAACTTTGACCCACTTAACTGAGGACACTCTTTTGTCCCCCTTCTCCCTCTGACCCCCACATTCTGCTTACCGAGCATGATCGCACCCACAGCACATGCCTGTGCTGCCACTCGGGTGTGAATCAGATGTATGGACAACTTGGTGGGACCTCGAGCCTTCAGCCGGTAAATCCTGTATGCGGCTATCACCAGGCAGCCTCCTACACCTGTGGGTGGAGAACAGAATCACTAGGCCTGTGTCCAAGTTCAGGGTCTCTTAACTCCTCTCTGGGCTTAACCCAGCAGGTTGGGCACTGGGGTACTAAGATTCTTTGATGCACCGAAGTTTGTAATCTTGAGTTTCCTCTGAATGGCATTTTTAAAGTGCCTGTGATCCTCATGGTGCTCCTCCCCCATGCGCAGGAGGTTTGTTGTCATGACTACACCCCCACCTAAGCTTCTCCACCCACTCCTGGATCCCAACTCTTGGTGCAGGTTTTCATGTTCTAGACTGGAAGGGAAATCTTGGGACAAACCCAGGCTGTGATAAAGACCCCATCCTGAGGCTGCTGTTAGCACTCTGTGTCCCGGTGTACATAGCATTCGGTGGTCAGCTGCCACCTCCGCCCATCCAGACTCCCAGTATTGTAAGAGTTTGTTCCTTGCCAGGCAGTGGTGGCACACGCCTTAATCCCAGCACTCGGGAGGCAGAGGCAGGTGGATCTCTGTGAGTTCGAGGCCAGCCTGGTCTTCAGTGAGTTCCAGGACAGGCTCAAAAACCTATCTCGAAAAACAAAAAGAAAAATTTGTTCTTGTGCACTGGGTGGACCACTTGTGTTCTCTAACCATGCCCTCATTCTTTAAAAGGACCAAGAATCACAAAGTCCCAGAGAGAGGAGGCATCCACCCCAACCCTCTTCTTCCCCAACTCACCTATAGGCACCAGTGGAGACTCCCTGGTCTTCCTTAGGAACTTCCCAGACAGGTTGTCCTCACCCTCAGGTGGCACCCACCAGCCCTTGTTAGCAGACATGATCCCAGGTCCAGATGGTAGTGGCTGTGAGCCTAGGATTCTGCCCAGCCCTAGAAGAAGTCCACAACGAGGATGCTGATCCTGGTCTCCAGGGGAAGGAGGATTACCTGCAAGGACCTTACCATGCCCAGCCCAGCACAACCTGCACTTGAGAAGCTGCCCCCTCGGGTGTTGTCTCTTAGGTGTTTGGGCCGCTGGCGGCTACTTTCCTCATGTCCTTAGCATCTGCCTCCTTTCCGGCTCATCTGACTTTACTGTTCTCTTGCTTCCTGCTCCCTATCTGCATCCCTATGGGTGTGATCCTCTGGCCAAGAAAAACAGCTGAGAAAACCCAGAGTAGAGTGGAGCCGTCTTTGAATCTTGGGGCCCTCTTGGACTTGGATCTGTTGACAGTTGCTCCTAAGGGAGCTACAGAGCAAGATCCGACTCTAGGGAGCCAGAGCTGCTCCAGACAGATGCAACGCCAGTTAACTAAGTCCCTGGAGCAGATGTCTGTGATGAGACATTGATATAGTTTGTACCTCAAGACTAAAGGAACAAATTCTGGTCCTCAAGCTGCTCATCAGCCCACTCCTTTCATTCTAATCTCTGTGAGCCCCTAAAAATGCCTGCTCCGATCATCGCTAAGTCCCAGCCTTCAGAGGAGGGATTCAGCCCATAGGATGCCCTCTGAGTCTATCTACAAGACAGAGACTACCTGAGCCAGCTCTTCTTGTTGGTAGCCTGAGTCTCCAGCATCCCCGTGCTTACCGTAAGAGATAGATGGCGAGAAAATGGAGCATGGACAAACAAACGGAGCAGCGCTCAGTATCTGCTGCCTTCAATCAGCCAACACCCGATGCCAGATTTGTCACTATGGGGTCAGGGAAGCAAAGTGGGGAGGAGAGAGAACAGGGCATCAGTCTTCCTCCCCACGCCCCCATCAGCCGGCCGAGCTCCAGATGCAGCAAAGTGAGGTTAGACCTGGTGGAGGAGAGACCTTAGCTAACGTGAGCCTGTTTGTACACAGGTGTGACTAGAGAAACAGTGATGGACAGCGCCCTGAGTCCTGCACCAGGATGAACTGTTTAAGATACTCTTTCAAGCAATGTGAAGTATATACTTCAGTTGTATGATTTTTCTGGTCTTGGCTTTGGTCTCCTTTTGAACCAAGCCTATAACCCCAGCTAGTTAGGAGACTGAGGAAAGAGGATTGCACACTCAAAGCCAGCCTGGGCTACAGAGTGAGTTCATGTCTAGCCTGGACAACTGACTCAACCTGTCTCAAGAAAAGAAATAGGTGTGTGGATGCATACCTTAACACCAGCTCTCAGGAGGCAGAAGCAAGTGAGCTACTGTGAGTTCCAGGCCAGCCAGGGCACTAGACCCTGCCTTGAAAAAGTAAAACTGCCGCAGTGGTGGTGCCGGGGTTTAATCCGATCACTCAGGAGGCTGAGGGAGGGGCGAGCTGATCTCTGAGTTCAAGGCTATCCTGGTTACAGAGCTAGTTCCAGGACAGTCAGGGCTCACGGAGAAACCCTGTCTTGAAAAAACAAGAGAGTTAAGGACGTAGAGCACAGCTTTAGTGGTAAACACTTGTTTAGCAAGTGGGAGGCCCTAGGTTCAGCTCCAGTTGTGAGGGGTTGGGGGAGCAGGGAGTCTTTTTGTTGCCCAAGACAGGGTCTCACGATACAGCCTTGACTGGCTTGGAACTTAAAATGTAGACCAGGCTGGCCTCCAACTCACAGAGATTCACCTGCCCCGCTGCCTCCCAAATGCTGGGATCAGAGACGTGTGTGCCACCACACCCAGCCAGAATCAAGGACTTGTCTCAGGAGTGTGAACAGCTGGAATGTTGCTCCCTTGCATGGCAGTCCCTTGACATGACATGAGTGTGACTGTCTATGCCAGGTGTTTGTGTTGCAGACCTGTCGTGGAGGACCTGAATTCCTTCCCAGACATCAGATTACTTGTCCAAAGATACACAGCTAGTAAGTACCTTGATCTATCCCATGGCTGACTGCCTCTAGGGATGCCGGCTAATCTGAAACCCTTTCTCACTTGTCCATCCTGGCATCCCTGACTAAGAAGAAGCAGCTGTTGCTGAGCCAGTGGGGACAGGTCAGGACGCACTGTGGAGGGTCCCGCTCCCTCCGTGCCTCACGGCCTCTGTGTGCTTGCATGCTGTGTGTTCCCCAGAGGAGCCTCTTTCAGCGCTGGCAGTGTGTCCAGCAGCTGATGTCCCTCTTTCTTTCCCTAGCACTCACTGCTCTGTGAGTAGGCTCAAGGTCACAGCAAATCCCCAGGGCCTTCGCACATCCCCAGTGTCCATGAGAACGCTCCTCTTGGTCGTTCACACACACTCTCATGCTGCCTCTCCACGTCCCCACGCTGGCCCGAGTTCGCAGGAGATGCAAGGTCTACTCTCTCCTCGTGTAAGCTACAGACAGAAAGGCACATGGAAATACCTGGAGGAGACAAGACAGGGATCGTGATCAAATTAAAATCATTTTAAAAATGGACAGACAAAGGGCTAGAGACATGGCTCACTAGGCAATAGAGCTTGCTCTTGCAGAAAACCCTCATGGCAGCTCACAACTGCCTGTACAGCCCCCTGTCCCTTCTGGCCTCCACGGGTACAAGGCTTATATGTGGTGCACAGACATACATGTAGCCCCTCACATATACCTAAAAATAAATTACTATTGGGCTGGAAAGTTCAAGATTTTGAGTTTGAAACCCAGCAGCCGGGTCTGGACGCTGAAGACTGCCTGAAAACTCCAACTCTGGGAGATCTGATGCCACTAGCACACACCCATTCATGTGCGTGTGCACGCATGTGCACATGCGCGCGCGCGCGCGCGCACACACACACACACACACAAAACAGTCTCACTCTGATGCCCTGGCTAGCCTGGAATTTGCTGTGTCCACCAGGCTGGAGTTAAAGGCACGTAACACTCTGCTGAAACCTTAAAAGATATTACTACTATGTGAATGAATATGAGACATGAGTGTGGGCATGTACATGCCACGGCATATATGTGGTGGTCAGAGAGTTGATGTTTTCCTTCCATACATAGATCTGGGGATCACACTCCGCCAGGCTTGGTGCAAGCGCTTTTACTCACTGGATCATATCTTGAAAGGCATTTTTGGGTTTTGAGACAGGATCTCACTATGTAGCCCAGGCTGGCTTGGATTTTGTCTTGTAGATCAGGTTGGCCTTAAACTCGGAGACCTCTCTCTGTCTTCTAGGTGCTAGGATTAAAGTGGGAACTACAAAGCCAGCTGAGGAGATGCCTGACATCAACCTCTGACCTCTGCATACACCTGTGCACAGTGGCATGTGTGCATCCACACACATTCTAACACACACATGCACAAGTGGCATGTATGCACCACACACATGCATACAGTTGTGAATGCAGTACACACATTCTAACACACACATGTACACAGTGGCATGTGTGTGTACCGCACACATTCAACACACATGCACACAGTGGCATTGTGCACCCACACACATTCTAACACATGCACATGAACATAGTGGCGTGTGTGCACCACACACATTCTAACATATATGCACAGAGTTATAAGTGTGTACTCACATCCTAACACATGCATGCACACAGCAGCATGTGTGTACCACACACATTCTAACACACATGCACACAGGTGTACCACACACACGGTTGTGAGTATACACCACACACATTCTAGCACACATGCACACAGTTGTGAGTATGCACCAGACACATTCTAACACACATGCACACAGTTGTGAGTGTGCACCACACACATTCTAGCACACACGCACACAGTTGTGAGTGTGCACCACACATTCTAGCACACACGCACACAGTTGTGAGTGTGCACCACACACATGCACAAACAGAAGTGCTGCTCCCTCTGCTATTGAACTATTGAAACAATGGATTCCACAGAATGAAGATTTCTCAGGAGTCCCACGGTGGAGGAAGGGAAAGTCTAAAGCTCTGGTTCCTGCCAGAGGAGGATCTTACTTGTGGAAGAGATTTTATCTGGTTCTGACAACGTATCTGGCCACCTCTCAAGGCAGACCTAAACTGAACAAGGACAGGTGAATGCCATGCTAGACACCACACCTTCACCAGGACCGCTCAGCAATGCAGACTTCTTCCCCTGCATCTAAACTGAAGCTTCACTCCAGTGCACAGAGATGGCTGTAGGGGTCACTGGACCCCTACATTCTCTTTTCTCAGCATGACCACAGTGAGTAAATTTCCTCTCATCTTTTGTCTAGTCCTCTTTTGTTAGACAGGGTTTTACTGGCCTGGAACTTGCTGTTAGAGCAGGCTGGCCTCAAATCCCAGATTTGCCTGCCTCTGCCTCTCCAGGGCTGGAATTAAAGGGGTACACCACCATGCCTAGCTGTTAGTCATTTCTTTAATAGTCGTAGCAGAACATTTGACTTCAGGAGCCAGACTGTTACCCAAAAATCTCTGGGACATAGACTATTATTATTCCCATTACACAGATGAAAAACTGAGGCTCCAGACCGGGCATGCTGGTTTACACCTTTAATCCCAGCATTTGGGAGGCAGAGGCAGGCAGATCTTTGAGTTTGTGGTCAGCCTGGTCTACAGAATGAGTTCCAGGAGAGAGACTCTGTCCTGACGAAAAGAGAGAGAGAGAGAGAGAGAGAGTTCTATTGAATGACTTAGACAAAGTTAAAATACTCAACGGAGAAAACAAAACTTCTAACTATCCCTCAAATCAAATTTCACTGCCCAGGACTAACTTAGAAGTCTATACTGCAGGTCAAGTCTTGAGATAGAAGAAATAAAGTTGTCTTTTTATTTCAAAGCTGTGTGAGGAGGGCTGTGGGGCGCTGTTGAACCGCACCTGGGTAGCATCTGGGCCTTGGGTTTAGTGCCCAGCACTAAACAGGGAGGGGACCTGAGGACATACAGTAAAACTTCAAGTAACGAGTTTCCATAGCGTCCTGTTTTAGTAAACAGATAAGATAGAATTATGACAGCATCGTTCTTGTTAAGATGCCAAGTGTTAAATAATTGTTTCCATGTAAGCACTTCTATGTTAGTAATTTGCTTGCTGAACCTTCTTTTTCTTCCAAATCAGGTCACATTAATAAAATCCGGCTTGGAGGGGCCGAAATTAAATACAAATAGATTTACCGAGTCACGGGCCAGCATCTATAGGCCAGCGTTGGCTGCCCATACACTACGTGGATCATGTCAAGCCTCTAGGTCTCTGAGTCTCCACCCACCTCCATCCAGAGGTTAACACTCTGCAGGGCCCTGTCTGCTCCTCTTCCTCCAGAATGAGCAAGTGGCAGGAAATGGGGCCCAGAC